CACAAGTGATGAACCCTCCTTTTTTTCCTCAGTGTTGCCTGAATGTCTTCGAAACTGCGTTATGGTAAAATTTTTGAAATAGCACACTGATTTATTCATAATGCTGATGAATTCAGGAGCTCTTTAAACCTCTGTAAAAGGATGTCTGTGCTTTCAAAATAAGCGTATGCTTCAAAATAAAAATACATTCGGCACCTTGCATAAGAAAAAAATTGACATTTCTCATTTTTAATTGGTAAATATAACATTCAGGAATACAGGTAAATATACAATGTGGAAATACAGACAACACTTGAAATACAGCAGTGTAGTAGTTTCTTAAAGCTAGACATGTTTAAGTGTAGAAGTGTCGTGTCCAATTAATTCCATGTGAGTCTGGAAGTCAAGAGAACTGGTATTTGCAGTGTTATCACCTCAAATCTGTTGCTCTGTGTTCTTGGGCACAATTTGTTTCCCTATGTTTACTCTTACTTGCAGTTGTTACTGAGCATTCTATGATGTGAATAAAATAGTATATGATTATTAGTCTGTTTGTCTCTGTGCCATTTACTTGTATCCTGTAGATACAAATGTATTTTTCTTATTTCTTTATTCAGTTCTGGCTTTGTATTATAAATTAGTTGCTTCGGATTCTTTTTTTCTGATAATATGGATGCAAAAGTAGTGTAGTTCTACAGAACTCGTGTATGTAATACTTTATGTTGCAGTGTACTTTTCCTATTTTATTTCTTTCAAAAATCCCAGGGTATTCGTGTGGGGTTTTTTGCTGAAGATGCACACATTCTTAAAATATGTAATCATGACATCACACGTGCCGCTCCCTTTCCTTGAGTTTGGATCTTTTTGGTTTAGTGTGTGTTGTGCCCTGTGTATTTTGCGTGTTTTAAAGGTGGTGGAACAAGGTCCTGGTAGACAGCATGTTTGGATTTCTGAGCTTTCTGTGAAAAATATTGCATAGTCACAGACAAGATTATTAAAATGTAAAATGCCTTTTTATTTAGAAAAAATAAGGAGAAGATGTCAACAACATGAAAACCCCATGAGAATCCCTCCTGAAATTGATAATCCCTCCCAAACTCCAGAATTGCTGCTGGCTGCAGCGGAATTGCGCTGCCTGCTCTAGTCCTGCTACACAACAGGCACATCTTCAAATTGCCTTGGAGACTTTTGCGCTATGATAGCATTCTTACTTGGAGTGTAAGCAAATTAATTCCATGCAGTCCGTTGATCAAAATCTTGTGGAATTAGATAACAGTGGTGGGGTTTGGGGTTTTTTTTTTTGTTTTCCCTTTCGAATACCAGTGATGAAATTCATATTGATTTCAGTAGTGTAGATAAAATACTAGGAGCTATTGACCCTGGTTTTTTGTAGTGAGTACTGTAGATTGCTGCTTTCTGGCAGGAAAGGGTGGAGAGTTTTTCACTGTTGCATACAGCACATTTATTTTGGTCTTGTTCAAAAGAGCTATGATTTGATATGTGTGGCAATGTGCTGATGGACCCTTTCTAGTTTGTACTCAACCTGTCCTAAGCAACAGTGGGTTGGTACGCCATCACAGAAGTATGTGTGCAAAAGTAGGTAGAGTATCTGCAAAGACAGTGGAGAAATGGCTGAATTGAACCATTTAGCCCAGAGGACTGAAAACCATACTTCTCACTTTCCGCTCTTTTCACAGAATTGCAGAATGGTTGGGGTTGGAAGGCGCCTCTAGAGATCGTCTAGTCCAAGTTTTCCTTTTTAAAAAAAAAAGACATGAATGTGTCTTTTTTTGTGTGTTATCCAGCCAGGTTTTTTTCTCCCTTTAGCAGTGGAAGTTTGGAGACCAGCCTTGCAACAAGCTGCATGCTGTTCTTCACACGTCAAACCAACCGCCTGTAAATACTCTCGGACACTAGATGGCACACGTTCAATAGACAAACTTAGCTACAGCCATGTGACGAAGAAAAAGTGTGGTAAAACATGAAAATGAGGTGCCACCTGGTATTTCCAGTATGGCAAGGACAACTGTGAGAAACAAGGAGCTTTTCTAGGCAGTTTGTATTAAAGGTTGTCTCTTTGTTCTCTGAGATTATCATATAGGGATCATATAAAGTCCTCATTCTGCCTGTGTGCAATTAAAAAAATTCTATTCTACTTGGTATTTTTTAGCTTGAAACAAATGCATAAAAGTTTTCTGTGGAATAGTGCGTCAGGCACTTAAAGCTGTTACAATAAATGCCATTTATAAACACTGTTTCTTCCATGCATCTTGAAGTTTATAGAAAGCATTTTATTAAACATGCATTAGTCTAGATTGTTCAAGAACTATATTCTCATGAAATCTTCAGGTGCTATCTTCAAAAACACAAGGAGTGAGTTTGTTTTTTTTGACTTAGGCAAATATACTTTGGGGAATGTAGTAGTTATTTATTCTTGGTGCTCTATAAAAGCTTAATAAATCTTAGAACTTAAGAACGGGATTAAAGAGTTATGTGCTTACTAGTGCATGTTTAATATAACAACTTTCTTAAAGCATCTTTTGTGTGGTAGGATGATAAAAAGCTTCACTAGTTTTTAAAAAAATGTATTTTGATGCACTGAGATATTTAGCTTGTACTAGCAACCCTGAAATTCACAGAAGAAGATAATACTGTGAAAAAATGTCTTGGACCAAAATGTGCGCGGTAGTATTCAAGACAAAGGCGATAAAATAGATTTAGTTTCTGGAATTTAATTTTGAGGATGTAGCAAGAATCTCAAAGCACATCCAAAAGGGATTGTCTGTGAAAAGGAGAAAAAAGCTTTTTGTCAGTCTGCTCCCTGTCTCTTGCCTCCAGCAATTACATGCAACAACCTGTTCTTTCTGTTGGCCACCTTTAGTATTTTTAGTGATCGTTGTCATAAATAGTTTGGGATCCCAGGTGTTTGCATTTATCAGCTGTTTAGTCTGCTTGGTATTGCTGTGGATCTCCTTCCGTGGCTTTGACGTAGTTATTTTGAAGAACCTAATCCTGAGAAAATCTGAGAGTTTAGTAAGAGTTGATCTGAGATTTACAGTTTAATAATTGCAGTGTAATAGCATCCATGAGTTAAGCTGTCAATTATACAGTGGTGGTTGTTTGAGTTGTTTCTTATTAATGACTAATTTCTTTCATTTGTTTGTCAACAGCCACAAGCAGCAAGCCATCCTGCCATTTTCAGAATTGTTAACAAAATTTTCAAGTAAGTTGTGAAATTATAGTGGGAAGTGTTTCATATGATCAGTTTACACATTGAGGTTTTCTTCATGAGAAGAAGGAGTATAATGATCTGTGATGTATAATAATTTCAGGATGTTTTTTTTCTTCAGCTGTATGCCTTAGTGTCCCCTTCTGTGTAATATACTGCAAATAATGAAAAATGTTAAAAATCTTCTAAACTTTACATAAAAGTTACATTATAATAATCGTTGATACAGTTGACTACGTTGTATTTTAGCCTTTAAAATTTATAATTTATTTTGTACTTCAGTAGAGATTTGTGATAGAAATACGATTTTGAGGTGAAAATTAGAAAAGCTGAAATGGCTTGGCCTGTGCCAGCATAAAGCTGGAATTTAGCTAAAACATTTGCACTTACAAGTGCAGCCTCTTTTATGTTATGTTAATAGTCTTCAGGATTGATATCAGGTATGTTCTTAATAGCATTAAACTATTGATCTGCCTGTCAATAATGAGTTTGGGTTTGATTGCATTAAGATTATTTTGAAGCAATATATGTTGTTTACCACATGGGGGCTTCCAGTCCTTCGTACTGAGTTTTCAGTGGCTTTTTCTCTTCACTTCGCTTGACTTACTACTTTATCATTCTTTTTAAGTAGATCTACTGCCAGCGTTATCAGTATTACAGTTTCGATACAAAAATAACGTATGTAGTGACTGACATTCTTTGTTCATCAAGTGTTTTCCTTTTTAAGAAAAAAGGGCTCCCAGGTGCACGGGTTTGGGGGCATTTCTGTGTCTGTGTGCATGTTTAGGTTTGTGCAGGCAGTAACAGAAGACTCTTTGCTGTAGAAGCTGTAGACTGCTGTATCGTGAGAGTGCAACTACTCGGCAGCAATGGCTGTGGCAATCCTTTCTGTTGCTGTGGTCCAGTGTCTGAGCACAGGTAGCATTTTCTGAATAGTTGAGACCAGTCACTTTCCCGAAGCAAAATGCACTTGAAAATTGATGTGACTTCAACAGGCCTGTACTAATGTTTTAGGCTGGAGGCTGTATATTGTGATGGTATAAAGGAGATAAAATTTGTTCAAGCTTCTTGGCTTATTTAGGGTTATGGTATATAAAATATTTTCTAAAACTAACATGAGACTACGTAACTCTTTTGCACCCTTTCCATTTGGTAGACAGTAGAAATGGGTGAGATATTTCTCAGATAATGCAGGACTTTGTCCAGCAGAGTATTTCCTAATAAAACTTTGCACTTGTATTAATGTTCCAAATTGTCTTAGAAATTCATCATGTTTTCCTGTTGCTCAGCCTACATTTCTGCTCCCTTGTTTGCTTTCCATTGTTTCTACTTAGTATGCTTGTTCCTCTACATTGTTGGTGTTCAACCATTAATATGTTTTAAAAATACTATGTTTCAGGTCCTCTTGGTATGAAGTGAAGCTATATATATTAGCTGGCTTTTGCAGACCAATTGGTTTTTGCAGTTTTGTGTTCATTTTTGTTGTATTTCTCTGACATCCTTCCAACTATTATCAAGTGGTGTGCAGACATTAAGATACTATTTTAGGTGTAGTCACATGTGAGATTTTGGAGAGCTGCTGATAAAGAACTTGTACTTCATTGCTTGGAAACTGTGTTATGTTTCTACACCTGGCAGAAAACTCATTTTATTTTGGGGGTTAATATTCTGTTAGAAGCACAGGTCTAAGCATTGTGTCTCCTTCATGAATAACTTTTCCTGCTATTTGCATGCTTTTTATTGAGGTTAATTGTGCTAAATTGTTTTATCTCAGGGATATGAACTTCTGCTTTTATTTCCCAGGTAGAAGCTTATTTTGTTGCTATGTGCAGCTATACAGAAGTCCACACACCTTGAGTTTCTGTGTACTATTTCTTGTGTTTATATTAGTGATTATATATGCCTGTAGTTTTGTGAAATTTCTCTGTTACAGTAATGTGTAAGCTGTTCTTATCTTTCATATCATTACAGAAACAACGAAACAATTCTCTAATAAAAAACTTAAATTTCAGTAACAGCTTACTTTGAACATTTTTTCTCCTTACATGTCTTTCAAATAAGAGAATGAAAATTACACTTTCTGCCCATATATTTTTCTGCTCCATTAGCTCAAGGTTACATTGCCCTATGGAAGGCCAGTTACAGCGTTCACCTTCCTGAACCTCCAGAGTGGATTTTATCATTTCACCATTGAAAGCACATTGGAATGCATTGGTCCCTAATTAAATCTGTAGCAATTACTGATATAAAGTACACCTTTGGTGTACACTCATTTCTGTTTTTGCTTCTGATTCATTGCTTAATGATCATTAAGGAGTCACAGAGACTGAACAGCAGCTGTATTAAGTTCAGTCTCCTTGTGTAGTTTTTTAAATATGCAACTTTTAAATTTGATCAACAACTTTTGTTTGTTTGTTTCCCTGGCTCCAGTAGGAGTGTTACATTTAACAAGATTTTTTTTCTTTTTTTTTTTTTCCCTCCACGTACCATATCCCAGGACATTGTACTAGATCATACTTTTGCTCTAATTTGAGATGGCCTATGGGATGCAGTCCCAGCAAAGCACCAAAGTATGCTTAATTGTAGGCATGGGAATAGTTGCTCTGAACCGATTAAGACTGTTCAGGTGCCGAATTTGTCTAATAAAGTTGTGGTAGCCTCTTTTTTAATTTTACACTTTTTTCCCCTATTGGTAGGATAAATTATATATGTATATTGCATATACTGCATGTATATTGTATATACTTACTAAATCTAGTTTATTTGTAGGAGTTGCATATGTTTTTTTAAAAGTAAAAATAAAATTTAAAAAGTCTGCAAAGTTGGTATTTCTATCAGTTTCCACGCTGGCATAATGAGCTCAGACAGCTTGAATCTACAGCATACAAAGAATGTACCTTTTTTTCTTCATTTCAATTAACAATGGTGTGATGGGCAGACTAATCTGATCTGTCATAATCTAACTTTTTAATGCTTAGGAATGCACTGCTGGAAACTGATGGAACTCCAGAAATTATGACCATAATACAGGTGTTTACACAGCTCTTCCTTCAGGCTCATCAGAATGAAAACAAACAGGTTAGTCAAGATCTATTTCTTAATGTTCCTTTTCAGTGAGAAGGTATGAAATTTCACAAGAAAAGAACAATGCTACTGTTAAGAATGGTGACTCAGTATAATGAGCTGATTAATAGCATCTCTCTAAAGCTGTATATACGTGCCAAAGTTCAGTTCAAACATTTTCAGCTGTGAATAAGATTATAGTGTGAAACCAATACGTAAGAGCAATTTACCTGACTTTACTCTGGAGTAATCCTGCAACCTAAACTGTGATTTTCACAGGGGCAGTTCCCCTGGTGCTGAAGTTTCCGCCTGTACAGTGAACATGATCATGATCATCCATCTTTGATAGGATGAAAAGCTTTAGAGACATTTTTCTTTTGCGTAGCAGGGTTTCTGATAATAAAAGAAACAGAGATCATAACTCCATCCCCATTCCCCCAAATAATTGTAAGTAGGACACCGAATAGGCAGATTTGTCTGTTCAAAAGCTAAAAGACACAGAATACATACTGGTTTCAGTTTCTGGTCTTCAAAAGTGGCCTCTCAGAAATTTTTCTTCAGTCTAAAGCTTCAAATTTCCCAGCTTCTGCACAGATTTTTATGCAGGTCCTACTGAACTGAATTAAGTAGAATTACTTTTGTATGTATTCATTTAACCATGTTTGGTTCTTTAATTCATACAGTGTAAGTTCGGAAAGTATCCTATCACATAATAGCTTTCACTTTAGACTTAAGAAAATTTCCAGTTCTTTTGATTTTTGCATCTTTTTGGGGAGATGGTAGTTAAGAAAATTTTGGGACTTCTTGGAACTTGTGACGTACTCGTCTTTAATTAGCAATGTGATTGAATCTGTCTTCTAGCTTCAGGCAATATGAATTAAGGATGAAACTGCAGCTGTCTTGCTTAATATATAGGTGCTGTGCATGTTAATTTTATGCCACCCTGACTATATGGCAGCAGCACACTGTGTAGCCTCAGGTGGGGGTGGCTGGGTGGAGAACGCAAGTAAAGATTCCACACCCATCAGACACCCAAGAGCTACTCCTGTTGTGCAAGTGATGCATTTGCTTCAGGGTGAAAGTCCTTCACCTGCTGACATTGCGACATGGACATTGCCCACTTTTTTGAAGTGGTTATAAATGTTAAGTTTCCTTTATTTAATTTGTGTACAGTTTTATTCATGGGGCTCTAATTAAGGTATTATCTTCAATATTAGAGTTTAAAACCCCTTGTTTCATGTTATGAATCAACCATAACGTTAACTAACCATTGGCATACAAAAATGCAGGCACAGACTGCTTCCTAAACTTTGTCTAAATCAGTCAGATCATTTTTTTTTGTCATATCAGTATTACATATGTTCGTAAGGCACCCATCTTTGGGGTATCTGATGCCCTTGACAGGACATAATGTGCTCCATTAGCATTTCACAGAGGAATGGTAAAACCATTAATGACAGAAGATGAAGAGAGTTCTGGCAGGGTCATCTGAGACCTTAGGAATTTATAGTACAGTTAATTGAAAAAAGACTAGGCAAACAGATGTGTCCACAAAATTTTCAAAAGAACCAGGTCATGTCTGGCAGTTGCACAGGTTTGCAGGGTAGGAGAATGATTCTCTATTGCAGTGTGCCAGCTGTCAGAAATCGCTGTCTTTTGTAGTAACTTTGTAGACCATTTAGAGAGAATAAGGTTTGGCAGAAAAAAAGCTGAGGAGTGTGAAAAAACAGTGCTATAGGGTTTAGAAATAGTCTTGTTTCCTCTATGTTTTGGGAGACTGAAAAAGATATAAATGGAACATGGAGTTTAAACGTACTTAGGAAAAAAGACCACTTGTGTAGTCATCGAATAAGAAATTTAAGAAAGGGTGTACTGAGATCACTGTTGGGATAATGCTTTCCATGTTTTGTACAAGCAGATTTTGTTTAAGTTTGTGATGGTAGTGAAAGCTGACCTAAGGATATTTGGGTCACGTTACTTGTAAATTTATGAACTTGAAGTTCATGTTTTTATTTGATGGAAATTATAATTTCCTCCAGGATTATTTTCCGTTGATCGTTTCAGATTTGTCAGTGGTTTTCACCTGGGAATTTTGTTTTAAATAGCCAGATAAATATTTTAAGCCAGTGTTCAACTTTTATTTCCTGTTATACATCATGGCAATTATTATAACCAGCCCTATCCAAACTCGTTCTGTCTCTTTGTACCTTGTTTTGCACTTTGTGATAGCTTATGTAAGGAAAGAACTGCCTAAAATACTGTGTTTGTGTGATGGGAAGCAAACATTTTTTTGCTTTGCTTAAACAGTGTGCTGAAAACTAGTTTTCACTTACTTTACAGTACTCTTCTCATACGTAACTCATGCTGTGGGTTGTCTTGGCTACTACTAACTATGTCAAGGGCTGCTTTTTCATGGGGATTTTTGGTGCAAGCTAATAGGCTACATGTGTACTTTAGTATAGGGATTATTAATTTTTAATTAACCTAATTACACTTGACAAGTAGCCTTTTAGAGTCTTACCATACCAGTGACACCTAGACTGTCTGAGAATACTGTATATATTAGTGTGTTGTAATTTCAATTAAATGTTTTTTACAGAACAAAAAAATGAATAGAGAGAGAATGTGTCATTCCATTTGTTTGTAAGATGCATGCATTTATATCTCAAAGGAAATGAGTTAACTAAATATGGTCTTCATTGGATTTAGAAATTTATCACATTTTATAGCATCTCTATTCCCAGACTCTGTTTCAAGAGATGATCTATTTACTAAATAGTCTCTTATTCCTAAAGAAAGGAGACAGAAGAGTTCTAGAGACATTGGTATGGAGACTTGAAGACTGAAATGACAGAATCATAGAGTGGTTGAGGTTGGAAGGGACCTCTGGAGTCCAACCCCCTAGCTCAAGCAGGGCCACCTAGCACCAGTTGCCCAGGACCATGTCCAGTCGGCTTTTGAATATCTCCATGGACTGAGACTCTACGACCCCTTGGGCAACCTGTGTGAGTGCTTGCTCGCCCACACAGGTTTTTTTTTTAAAAAAAAAACCAAACCCAACAGTCTTTTCTGATACTCAGACGGAACCTCCTGTGTTTCAGTTTGTGCCCATTGCCTCTGATCCTGTTACTGGGCACCACTGAAGAGAGCCTACCACTGAAGAGAGCCTAGCTCCATCTGCTTTGCACCCTCCCTTCCGGTATTTATATACATTGATAAGATCCCCCTTGAGCCTTCTCATCTCCAACCTCCCTCAGCCTTTCCTCACAGGAGAGATGCTCCAGTCCCTTAATCATCCTTGTGGCCCTTTGTTGAACTCTCTCCAATATGTCCATGTCTGTCTTGTACTAAGGAGCCTAGAACTGGACATAGTACTCCAGGTTTGGCTGGTGGAGTGGCTGCTCACCAGTGCTGTGGGGAGAGGAAGGATCACCTCCCTGGACCTGTTGGCAATCTTTTGCCTTATACAGCTCAAGCTGTATTGGCAGCAAGGGCACATTGCTGGCTCACATTCAACTTGGTGTCCACCAGGACCCCCAGGTCCTTTTCTGCAGAACTGCTTTCCAACTGGTTGGCTCCCAGCATGTACTGGTGCCTGGGGTTGTTTCTCCCCACGTGCAGGACTCCACACATCTCCTTGCTGAACTTCATGAGGTTCCTGTCAGCCCATTTTTCCAGCCTGTCAAGATCCCTCTGGATGGCAGCACGACCCTCTGGCGTATCAGCCACTTCTCCAAGTTTTGTGTCATCAGCAAACTTGCTGAGGGAACTCTCTGCCTCATCGTCTAGATCATTAACAAAGATGTTAGATAGGACTGGACCCAGTATTGACCCCTGGGATACACTGCTAATTACTGGCTTCCAGCTAGACTTTGTTCACTGATCACCACCCTCTGGGCCTCGCGGTTCATCCAGTTTTCAGTCCACCTCAAAAGGAGTTCATATTGCACTTGCACATGCATGCCACGCACTAGAGGTGCCTGTAGTAGATGTTTGCACAACAAAAAGATTAAAGATATGCTGCTGCTAGTCTCAATTACACAAGCAGCAATGTTCACAGTACACAAATCACACGAACCCAGATAAATGGAGGACAAGTCTGTTATCTATGAGTACCCTACCTTGTGCTGAATCAGATCCTAAGAATTTTGGGTTTCCATTTTTGAACATAAGGCAATAATTTACATCACAGCCTCAGATTTTGTAGGTATTACTAGTTCTTAGCTTAATATGATCCATGAACCTGTTTACACTGGAAAATGAAATTAAACTAATTAGTGTCTCTTTTAACCTCTGCATATTAAGACTTTTGTGATTATAGGGAAAAAGCCCAAGAACAAGAAGATGTAATTTTCTTCATACTCTGAATCTTTTTTAATGGAAGTATTTTAGAAATCCATAAATAATTACTTTTTCTAAGCAAGCTTTTCCTAAATATCCCCTTCTTTCTTTATGCAAAATTCTAAAATTAAATATAGAGTTTTTGTGTTCTCTTACTTCAGTCTGTATTGTTAATTAATACCTTAGATGAGATTGTTCACTGTGGGTTTGTTTTGAAAATTGACCAGAAAGCTCTTAAAATAATGACTTTGTATCTTAGCATAAATTTCCGCTGAAGGCCTACTTTCCTTACCATCACCAGCCTCTTGTAACAGCTTTACTCAGACGTCCTTTTGGTAAGTTACTTCATGAAATATTTGCAGCGTTAGCCAACCTGCATGATCTGTATATGTCTTAAAATAACTTTTAAAAGGATGAAGACAAAATTTTGCCATTTCCTAAATAGGGTGTGTTGACTTAGCAATTTTAATAATATTCTTTTAATATATTTTTTTGCGGGAACATCTAATTCTTATGTAACAATAATACAGATTTAACTTTAAAGAAAACTCAACCCGAAGTGAATAACAAAGAAAGAGTGCATAATTTTGTAGGAATGAAGACAAGTTACTGGGATTGTAAAAACACTAAATATTCTTATCTTATAATATTAGTAATTGTCATTATGAAAATTTTCATGTGTATATTACAAGAAATAACCTTACCGTTTGTCTCTGAAGCTTGAATTCTGCTGATCTTTTCAGATTGCAAACCTAATTTTTTTTTTCAGGTTTCCCATTTTTATAGATCAAGAAACCACTGCTCTGTATGGCACAGTTTTACATGAGCAATAGTTTCAGCTCAGTACAAGAGCCTCTGGGAGTGTTACTCCACTGATCATATATTTAAAATTGAGGTAGCATTTACAGAAGGGTACAGCCTCATTTGAATATTCCTAGCTGTACTTCCTCACATGGCTTTGTCAATGAATTGTTCTAAGAAACACAGTAATAAGTATTGCTGAAAATTGGGAAATGTTAAAATGAAATTTTAAATGCTTTGTGATAATAGAATAAAGTTGCGCAAATGTTAACGCTAGCTTAATATGGTTAATTCCACTGTTCTGTTCTAGTTGGACAGACTAGACTTTTAAGAGTTTTATTTTCATCCTCCCTCCTCAGAACTGCCAACTACACACTGGTCTCAACACTTGAAACACATTTCAGATATGCTCAAAGGATTAATAGAAGATACAAACATTAGGTAAGCAGTGTTATATTTTCTAAGTTTTTGTCCTTTGCATATGTTACTTTGTAAAAAGTCATGTCATTTGAAGTCTTTAGTGGCTACGTTTCATCATTTTCTTATTATTCTTTAAATAGAGCTTTGTTTTAAAGAAGGACTTAGATTACTTACTGAACCTCAGCTTTGTAGCAGACCTGACCAATAAGCCTCTGAGTAAAAAATCTTGTAGTTCTTTCCATTTCAGCAAACAGCTAGCTGTGTAACAGAAATACGTACTTGCCTACTCTCCCATTTCTCCCCCAAAACTTTTAAAACCGATTCTGGATTGAATAACAAGAGAACTCTTCCAACCAGAAAAGCTATCTTGTTGTGAGCGGTACTGTTTTATGAAGGAGATTGTATTGGCTTTCTGCAGGCTTGTGCAAACATCCAAACTTCAAACTTCTTGATTTTTTTTAATAAAGATATGACTGCTAGACTGCAGTATCATTTGTTATATTACTCTTTGAGCTGACACCCCATGTTTCTGACCTGTTGCCCTTAGCTTTTTTTTGTCCAAATAGTTGCTATAATGAACGATAGTGTTTGTCTACATGAGTTCTGCTTTAGTTGTAGATGCTCTAGGACTATGTGAAAAGAATGAAAAAGGATACATTTCTACCTGTTGCTGCCCTGTAGTCCTTTCTTATAAGGTGTGTGATGAGACCTGAGTCGCCTAGCGCTTGGATATGAGTCTGCTTAGATCTGCTCCGAGAATGAGCTTTCCAAAGAAAATACTGAAAAGCTTTTAAATTCAAAGAAACCAATTTCATTTTGATTTAAAACCTGAAATATTTCAATAGAAACATGGAATGCCTTAGGCTAGATAGACTTGCAAAACAAGATACGCAACTGTCCCCCTGTGTCCTGGAAGGCAGATACTTGCATCCATGCTTGGTTTCAGTTAACCCATGGAGGCTTTTATTTTTGTTGTTGAGTGGCAGAAAAAAGCTTTTTGCTGTTCCCTCTGAGGCCAGGCTGTCTGCTGGCAGCTTCTCACTTTCTGTATGAGCTGCAGTTCAGTGCTATGTCTCGCCTGTTCATCCCTGAAGTCTGTCAAACCTTTCTGCCCTTGGAGTGTGACCAGGAGCTGACCCTGGCTTCTTAAAGAAACACATAACTCAAACTTAGAACAAACAAATAAAACAAATATCATTCATCATAATGTGTTACAATAATAGAAGCATGTCTGTTCTCCTTTTGTTGCCTCACCCTTTCTTGGCTTATATTGTCTTTTTCCCCCTTTGCTGTGATAGTACACTAGTTTGAATAGTATTGTACTTGCTAGAATACCCTCTTACTCCTTTAGAAGTCATGCAACAATTATGTTTTTTACCAAACCCATCTCAGTTACAAAGAAAATGGATCTGGCTCAAGTTTTTAAATACTAAGATCCATGAGGAAACTGTATTGATTTTCTTTTGTTGCCTTATTCCTGATTCTCCATCCTTTCTACGTAATAAGATTAACAGAGGAGCAAAAAATACTACTATACAGCATATCCTGTTGCTTCTTATAGTCAGTGCTCTCTGTTTATAGAGCTTGTTTTTCAATGGTTTTATTTTACACCAAATGTAAGTCTTACAACGAGGTGCTTTCTGGGTACTTCTAATCAACTGATTGCTTCTGTGCCATTATTTATTATTATATGTAGTCATCTCAGTGAACAGTAAACATGTGACATTTTAAACTAGAAATCAACTGATGTACGTTTTGTGGGGGGAAGTTCCATCAAAAGTGAAGGGTCACTTTGGGCCATGACAGTGGAGCAGTTGACATAGGTGCCCCTACAGAGCAGGTGGAAACAGCAGTGGGGACAGAAGTGGAGGGTACACAGCTCCAAACCAGGCACTGTGATGGTACAGGAAAATTACAGTCAGTTGTAAGTGCAGTGGTGCCTAAGCTCTCTAAACAAGAATTAAATTCTATTCTGCTAAGTACCTGTTAAAATTAGTTTAATGCTTAAAGTTTAAGGACTGTGTTTACCCTTTGAGCTATGAACACTTCCAGTCGTAAATACTGTCAATATTACCCTAAGTATAGTTATCTGTTCTCAGTAATTAACTTTTAATTAAATTTCATCTTTGATTGTACATCACTGGGTTTCAGAGCCAGCCTATCCACTTACATTGTCACAGCATTGAATTATGGTCAGATAAGTAGATTATTTTGCTGAGGGGAGGGCTGTTGTCCTAGATCACTATCACATTTGTTTGTTTTTTCAAAGGTTTTTAAGTTGCATTGCCAGATTCTAGTATCTTCAAAGACTTTACCAGTGTTGATCCTGTTCCTTTAGCTAAGGATTTCAGTCTCAGATTTTGTCACACATGTCTAATTCCCTGCAGTCTGAGCCATGCTGCTGCCCCCCCAAAAGCTGTGGAGTATCAACAATGGTGACTTTTATAGCAGTCACCTCTGCTCTATTTTTTCTCTATGATTCTCTGTCACTCTATGTCAACCTCTTATGTCTGATGTCAGTGATCACGCTTATCCAAAAGTACTGATGTGGTGGATTTGTGTCCTAGGAATAGGATTTTGAGACCCTGAGATTCTGTGGCGTATAGACAATATCATTTACAGGATCAATAATTGCTGGGACACCTGTAGACAACATCTGTCACCAGTGTACTCCAGACATAGAATACTACCTGCACACATCACACCTTCATCCGTAAAATTGTGCCTCCCACCTCTTCAGAAGGTCTTAAAGATAAAGCAGTTTATTCCAACTATGAACTTGTCACGTTCTCCAGATGACGTGATGGTATCAGACAGCTTCATCAACTCCTGAAATTTCTAAGATCTCTTAGAGTTTGCAGGGAAGGGTGGCACAGCAGCTCTTGGAGTCCCCAGGAATAAAACATAAGAAAAACCTCTAAATCTTCGAACTTTTGCAAAACTTAATAGGAATAATTGTTCCTTGTTCATAGTCTCCTTCCAGCTGACCTTCTGTCTGTCCTTCCTTCCACGCTCAGTTTGACTTCTTGCTTCAGGGATGCATCTTCCCATTGTTTCTCTTTTCTTTAGTCTTATCTTAACTTTAGAAGAGTACACGTGAGAAAGTGTAGAGATGAGCTGTGGTCCATTCTCACCTTCCTTCTTCTTACTACAGTAACCCAGTTGTAAACCAAAGTTTTCATTAAAGAGGACCTGAATTTTAAGAATCAGGAGAATGAATATCCTTACAAACTTTATATTTAGTCCATCTAAATGTAATCCCTCATGCATTACCAAAAAACATGTGCTTCATGGATTACCAAAAACCAGAAAATAACCCTGGAAAGCAACAGAGAGAAACTGGAAGACAGTATAAGGCAACAGTATGTTAGAATACAATACTTGAGATATGATTTAAAGTTTTGAAAATCCTTCAACTGGAGAATATAAACGATAAGGTTTAATTTTATGTTGTATATTTTAATACACAGTATTTTTTCACAGTTTATTAGAAACTGGTGTTATGGATAGTCTGTTCTACTGACAACGTTAATCTGTTAGTAGCACTGGGTATATCTCATTTGATTGTCACTGCAGATAATAGAATAGTACATGGCTGTATGCTTAGCAGGTAAGGCATTATCTGTTGAAGAGTAGTTTAACGATTTTTATTTTCATGCCAGCACCCTTTGCAGTTAACTTAAGACATTTTAAAATGTTAAATAACAAGAAATATTTAATTGTGTCTTTGTTATTTTCCAGTTCTCTTGCTGATGTTTTTGAAATCTGGTTTTTGGTTGCTTGTTTTGGAGAATGGGTGGATATTGCGGCAGAACAATTACTGAAGGCCGCCATAGAACCACATGCTTTGCTGTGGCTGCTGGCATTTTACTACTGTCCTCAGAAAGAAAATCAACAAAGGACTCAAACAATGGTGGGTAATGTAGCGATAGTAAGCAGCAATAAGCAGTCAATAGTCTGCTTATATCTTATTGCTATAAAACAAATAGTGCACACCAGAAGAATGAAAGGTCTACACTGGAGAAGGTTTTGGATTTACAAGGTGTCCTGGGAATTGTGTTGCGGTGGAGAAGTTGAAAGATAATTTTTGTGGATTTTCTTAGTAACATTTAGAAAACATTTTTCCTCTTTATAGTAGATTATATAGATTAGCACCTTCTTGACTTTCTTTTGGATAACTTGGGTGCTTTTAATCACAAGTAAAACTACTCTAGGAATGGTATTTTTTAAATCACTGTGTGGCAGAATTCAGCATTCCTGTGTTATGGCACCTTCTGAAGAGGAAACACAGGAGAAATCACAACAGAAGTCGAAGCAGTAAAGACATTCAGACACAGCCCTGAATCCTAATCTTGCCCATCTATTCTGATTTCTCTTATGTATCTTTACTGATTTTTGGCATGTATGAGATTGTAACAAGTATGTTATATTCCCATTTGCTAGGTTTCTAACAGAAGGAAGCAGTGTTCTAACCTCATGCACTGTACTGCCTGAAGAGTGCTGTGTGTCTGTGTATGCGTGCAAATACATGATAGGCTTTAATTTAGACCTATTATGCAAGTTTGAACTAGCCCAAGCAATCTGATCTACAAAGCCCAGATGCAAAATCTGGCTGTAGCATCTCTAGTTTGCCTTAATTCGAAAATGGATTCTGTTTGATTTAAAAATGCAGCTCAGTACACCACGCTAGTCCATGTACAACAGTGTGTTCTGCAATATTTTATTTCCTTCCCTTCCGCTCCCACCACCTAGATGGCACTATAAATGCAAGCTCACATCCCAATCACTTTTTAATTTTTTTTCTCTTTAATTACTTATAGTCTAGGAGAGGGGGTGGGATGTTGGCTGAGCAGAGTTAGGTTAGAGCTACAGTGAAGTAAAGAAACCAGGGTTGGTCTTAGAATGCAGTTTTGGGAAAGAAGGCAATACCCAAAGGATAAACATGAGTGAATGAAACTGAAGGACTATAGGTGCAGATCTATGTATGGAACATTGTTCTAACTCCAGCATCACAGAATGAATTCACATTGTGCCATATATAAAATCATCTCCCTGTGTCCCCCCTATTCTATCAGTTCATTTTCTGTCATAATGTATAACAAACTTCAGTGAGAAGTTTCTACTGACAGCCCACGAAGTTATTCATCTGTTCCCAGAGGTCTAATATTTCAGTTCATTTTGATTCTTTTCTTTTGTTACTTCAAGTAAGACATTTTTTTTTCCACAGGTCAGGCTACTTCCAAAGCATTCCCACAGTTCATGCAAAGCTTCTGCCTTTAGTTAGATATTTGCTTTTTCTTTTAATTTGTCCTTTGGCAGGTTAGCTCTCAGCTCTTTCAAATGGAGTAGTTTCCTCCTCAACCCCTGCACCTTTCACCTGTTAAGGATTAAGATGGGATGGGAACTTCTGGCAGATGCCAAGCTGGAGGACTTTCATTCAGCATATTCTTGTGTGAAGAGGCGTGCACTAGTGACTTAAAATTTTGTCTTCCTGCTACTTACTTTAGGTAGCAGCTTATATCTCAGCAAGAGTGAAATACATAGGGTTAAAATGATTTAAAGAAGAAAAAGGCTACTTTTTGCTGTTCACTAGACTTCACTCATATGTGCAGAACTGAATATTCTGCTCTTCAGTATTTATTGATTTGTTGGAGTTCTTTCATACCTTTAGACTCTGAAACATTGGAGGAACAAAACTTGGAGATTGATCGTAATAACCTTGGCACTAAGAATGAGTCTCCTAGGGTATGTGAGCTCATGGAGCAGAGTCTGCTACTATCTGTCTCTGGCACATGGGATGGAGGCATACCAAGAATAGGATGCACAGAGGGATAAAGAATCTTGAAGAATTCCGGTTACCTTTCTTTAAGTTCTGGTATCATTTGTTACCTCACATGTAATTGCAGACATAATTCAAGAATAGCAGCTTTTTCAGACTATTTTATGTGGAATTGTTAATAGGGCAGGGATGAGAAAAGCAAGGTCGGATAAATGACTGAAACAAATTGTGCTAATGAACGTGGTTGAGAAACAGGTGTCCTTTTCCTTTGGGTCTGCAGTGGTATATTTTTCCATTGTTCCTGTGCTTACTCATTTGAGTTTTTTCTACCAGTTTGTTTGGTTTATTTTTAATACAGTGAACAGAATTATTGTTAGGATTTTTTGCAATAATTGCTTATAGTTCTTTTTCCATTGTGTAGGTGCCAAAATCTTCTGTTTTCTACTCCCAGTAAAAATTAATTTTTATTGGCTAACTCAAAAGGTAAAACAGTAAGTTGCAAACAACACAGGAAGAAGAAAAAAACTGCATTCTTACCAGAAGATTTTATCAGCCGAGGTCAGGTTGCATGGGGATTTAATTGATTTGTAGCAGCAATACTGAAATGGGCCCTTGAGGAGCCTCTGTTCTTTTTCCCACAATGCAAAAATCTGACCATGTTCTGCTGAGGGACTTTCTCCATTTCCTTTTATTATTAAAAAAGGTCAAATCCTGGCTTGATGCCCTGCCTGCTTAGTTTGCAAGACCAAAGAAAGTTAAAAAATCCATTCTGTCCACCTCTGTGTGTGTGAATTGGTATAAAAGAAATGTGTACAGCCCTTCCTTCCCTGTTCTCCCTGCTGCTTAAATTCAAACTCTTTTCTTGTTTAGGTAGTTTCTGCCAAGGATTCAGTTTCCTGTTAGTGAATAAATCCAAAGGAAAAATACCGTAGGTATGACCTTTACTCTTCTCTGATCCTGCATCCTTTGAAATTGTTTCCTACAGGTAGAAGCTCAAGCTGTCTACAATCATTTAATGATGCTCTTCAGCTGTACAGTCCTTTCTGTCAAAGATCTGGAGGCTGCTGTACACAGTATAACAGATATAGAGCAGTGTTGTAACCAGCATCTTATAACACATCTTCTTATCAGCTTTTTGCTCTATTCTTCTGGTGGACATATGATTGCCCAGGAATTTATCTACCATGTAAGTGTTTCTTCCTTTTTTCAGTTTAAGTAAAATACATTTTTTTTACTATTTTAGATTTAAGTTCCTAGCTCTTAATAAGGAAAATACACAACAGAGAATTAAAGAAGATCATGACTACAGCAACTATACCTAACCTGCTACATATCTATTTCAGTTCGGTCAAAATATTTTCCTTCTTGACACTTCTTGAGAAGATCTCACTGAAAAGGTTGCTGTCCTGACTATACAGCTGCAGAAATAGTTGGAGTAGTAGCTTGCATTTAAGGGATACCTACAGTTCATTTACACCTGGCATAGATAGCATGTGCAAACATTTTGCTTTTCCCAGTTATAAATCACTCCTTTAATTATCCAGCTGCTGCAGAGATGACGGAACTGTCTTCTCTCTCTTTTCTGTTATGTAAAACAGCTAGTTACTAAGTGTTAGCATGGAAAAGGCAGAAGCTTGGTGCTTTAGCAAAGCCAGAGAAGAAAATGGTGTAATAATTGGGAGAAAAAAAACCCGAAGACCTGAGAAGGTGTCACTTAGTGTGTGAAAAAAGCTGAAGGGGAGTAAAATGTTGGAAGCATGCCACAATATCTTGCTATTGTTGATGAGACCCTTCAGGTATATTGGTGCAAACAGTATAATGTGTTTGTGTCTCTCAAGATAAATAGTGCTATGAGCTCAGTATGAGATTAGGAATTCATTCCTCTCTAACTATAAAACCATACTCTTTTAAGAAGTACAAGCAGGTCTAGGGCCAGTGTGTGGTTTTCACTTCAAAAGTTTTTTCCTTTCAGCAGCAGTGTGCTGTTCCATCTGTTTAGGGTATATGGCATGTTTAAGGAGTCTAATTTTATGACAGAGGGAACTGGAAGCCTGTTTTGGTGGTTATTCCTTCTGACTGACTAAACAGACATAACATTTTTCTGTTTGAGAAGCGCTAAGGTATTTCTAGCATTTTAAGTGTAAGTTCACAAAGATCAATTTCTTCTTAGCATAAGAATGTAACGATAAAATTAGGGGGGTTGTATGTATTTTTACAGTCTGCTGGTTTTATTATTTCTCTTTTGAGGAGTGTGGCTGTTGAACAGTGATGCTGTAATGTACTAGTCTGCTGCTTTAAACCTCGTCAGGAAGACCAAAGGCAATTTCTTGTTTCTTTATAGAAAGCAACATAACTAACTTTCAAAACTCTGAGTATTCCCCAGTGCAGGGTGGTCATGAGCTGTTGTAGGCCAGAGTATGTCGGTCTAATTAATGTTTACACAGATACAGTCAAAATTAATGTGTAGCTAGGCTCACCATGTGATTTAAAAAGGCCTGAAGACAATATATGAAAGGCAAGAATGGTGTGGAAACAAATTGGGATGCATGGCAGTGGTTTTGGTTAGCATAGTAAACTTTGGGATTAACACAGCAGATAACGTGGAGTAAGTCCCTCCTGATCTGCAAAAATTGCAATTTCCTGGTACTTTGTCATCTTTTGGGGGAGGGATTTATTTTTACTTTTGAAAGCTCTATAGAATTGAACTGTCTCCCCGAGCCCACCCAAAACCTTCATGTGCTTTTAGTTGTTTTCTAAGGAGATGACTTCTAAATGGTCTGTCCATTTGTGTTTCCTTTAAAAACTTTTTGACCTCTTGATTTCTTTCACTTAAATTTGAGAGAGCAGTAGAAATCTCAAAGTTTCTCGGTTCCGCCAAGGTGTATGAAAAGAGCCACCTTGGGCAGAAGTTGTTTTTGAACTCAGAGCATCTCACGTGTTCAGTGGTGAGGGACAAATCTGTGGTTTTGTTGCAAGTATTAACAGTAAATTCTTAGTACTTAGCAACATAATTGCATTATTTCTGATCTTCTCTGTTTCCCTTCAGATTACTGAGACTACTGATGCAAGCAAAGAAGTTTGTAGCCTTCTCATCCGTACTGCATACAGAATTAACCATAATGGTGAAGAAAACCAAAGGACTGTGAAGCTGCTGAATGAAATTCTTCAAAAACTAACATTGAAAGTTTAGATTTTTAATGTAATCTATTTATCAAGCCAACAAATCAGATCTTTATCCAGGTGTCAGACTTTCATTAACGTCTTGCACTGCAGGTTACCAAGGGTAGAAAAAGATCTATTAAAACATATCCCACAACTTTGTATTCCCTCATATATATTTGAAAATAATCCTTTGTTTGGAAATGTTAACCTTTTAGAACGTAACAGTAAATATTAAAGTTAGTTGAAAATTTTGTTCTGAGCACCTTCTTTAAATGACCTATGTCATTTAAAGCAATTCACTTATCTCCTTGTTGTTTATCTGGCTGAGGATCAGTTTTGCTCCCAAATTACACATGGTTTTATTAGCAAATCATATCCAATTGCTTGGTTGGTAAGTTTTTCCTAAAATGTTTTGTTCTATAATTCTGCTTTTATGAAACCAACGATGATCTCAAGTGAGAGTTAGTGATTCATGATAAATGCACTCTATGTTCTCAGGAAATCAACGTTTCCTGAACTTTTAGTTCTTTTTGAAAATGTTTCCAAAATGAAACTCCTCTCACATTTGCTAAATGATTTTTTCTCAGTACTGCAGCTTTCACAGGACAGTGTTCTCTGCAAAGTACTATACCAATAGCTGGTCTCTGTCAACAGATACTGCAGGTAGAAGGTTGCTTGCAGTACAGCCTGCTTTCAGTGTGCCATGACTGATGCTATTGTTTATTTGTTTAAGAAATCTTTTTTTCATTCAGACAAAACTGGCCAAGCACAACATAGGCATAAGGAAAATTCCCCAAGGTTTGAGGGCCAAATTTCCCAAAGAGAGCATATGGGTGCAACTCATCTCCTTCCTTTTTGTGTCCAGAGGGAGTTTGCTTGCTTCTTTGTTTAGGTTTTTTGTCTCATGCAAAGAGCATGGACAGGGAGTACTGTTTTACCCTTAGGAAAGTATTTGTCCCAAGAAGTTTTGTGAAACTATTTCTACCTTAACCGAAAAATAAGCATGGGGAATAGTAATAACAGAGGATCTTAATTCTTTTCAGTAATTTATATATTACCTAGCTTTAATGTCAACACTTGTCCTATGTTCAAAGATGCTACTTGGAATACTATTCTTGCATATAAAATCAGGGGCATGTATCTTAAATTAACACAGCTTTCTGATCGTAGCATTTGTTTTTGAGCAAGGGAAAAGAAAAACAATGTACTTAGTGTCCCTTGGCTGTAAGAAGAGGAAGGATATTTTCTGTAATGCTGTTGACTGATTTCTTACGGTTTTGTTCCCAGTGAGTCATATCAGACCAAATTACAGAAGTTGCATGTCCTCTCAGTCAGTTTGTTAATGTTTGTAATATTTGATTCCAGCATATGAAAAAATAGTAAATATGTAATGTATGTCTGTGAAAAAAGGTGGGTTTTTTTCTCTTTTTGGATTAAAAATATTTCTGAATGAAAAATCAGAAAGAGATACGTTGCAATTTTTCAGTTTTTGGTAGCCACACATATCTAAAAAAGAAAAATCAAGCAACCCAGTTTTCTATTCTCTGAATATCATACCTGAAAAGCATGATATTAATCTAAATTATTTGTTGATCACAGATTCTGAGGTATTTGTCTAGTGGGAAGACATGTGGAGTACTCTACCTAGAATGATAAATAATCTAAAATTGTCTCCAAAGGAAGAATGATTTTTTTTTTTTTTTGCTTTAATTCGTAATCCGGTTGCTAGATGTGACATTCTTTGGTTCTCCTTAAATTCTCTCCATATTACAACATTATGTAATTTTAACTACTTAAAAGAAAGATTGGCAAAGAGTTGCAATATATGATTCTTGCAGATTTGTTAGGTGAATGAGATGGGTATTATATTTATATGTGTATTACAGTTGTTGGAGATGAATTTGTAACTGTCCTTTCACAGTGCATTTTTTTTCCACCAACAAGTACATGAAAATTCTTCTGACTTTCTTAAACAAAATCAATATCCTGTTAAATAGTGATAAGTCAATTCAAGCAGGAAGGAAATGCGCAGTGAAGGCAGAAAGAACAAAATTAGTAGTGACTTGGTACATTCTTGTTTTCCTGTGTTTGGCTTCTTAAGAAATACTGCATGATTTAAATATTATAAGGAGGATTTGCTCCTTTCAGCAGGGTTTGAGGAAGAAACCAAATTGATGCTATCTGTAACTTTAAAAAGATAACATCTGCACTGGCATTCTTTTTGCTTTATTTAGCATAGTTGTTATAAATCTTTGGTATTTCTTTTTCCTTGCTCTTTCAGAGTGCTTGAATTATGATATAAACTTTGATATAAACCATGATTTTGTGGCATGTTGAAGCTACTTTTGTTAGTTTGCCAGTGGAAGGCAACAGTGTGATTTTGTAGATCTGAGTAATGGAAGATTTCTCATATGGTGGCTTCTGCATTATCCATCTAACGTGCGTCTTCTCCTCTGTAATCGCTGCTTTCTGGAAAAGTTCCAGCCTTCCGGGCTGTACTTTTACGCAGAACCAGCCAACAAGTCCTGAAATCAGGCTTCAAGTAGCTTGTTCCCTTCCCTCCAGTCTCCATGTCAGCACACACCCTAATCCTGGATATTATACTGAATATACAGAGCTTTTCAAAATTTTTCTGCTTCAAGGAATTGTTTTGAATAAGAATACAAACAGTAAATTTGACTTATTTGTTGATGATGCTTCTTTCCAGTCTAAGACTGCTAAGTTACAGCTTTTTGAATTCTGCAAGCTTTCCAGCATGGGGCTGGGTGGTTTCTGTGGATTTTCTTCAGAATAAAGCCACTTCTGTGGCTTTCATTCAACCAAGATCTTAGCACAGTGCATATACAAAGCAGAATACATTTTATTTTGTGAGGTATGGTAGGAATGGGTATGTTATCAGGTATTGCAATTTAGCTGACCACCAGTAACATGTTAATCTGTTACTTCTGGGAGTTGTGATCAGGTTTCCATACTTGCAGCATTTTAAGTGCAAAGAGGTGTTAATAGAAAGTCCGACTGAAGATGCGAATGAGTTAATATTAGTTTTGGTAAGTTAGAATTCATGCCATGGTGGTATATGTTTGGCTTGGTTTTGGCTTCGGGGGGATACAATCCAAAAAAATTCTGAAGCATTATACAAGTTTAGGATGAAAATAATTTTAGCAAAAATTATTAAACTAAACACTAGTGAAACAGGTTTACTCCATTTCTTTGCTGTATTATCCAATGACAGAATAAAATGCTAATGTTCTGTGTGAGTGAATAATGTCGTGCTAATTAAAATGCAGGGGGTTTTGTGATATAAGAAGGGTGTGGGAAGGTGAGAAATTCTGACACTGAAGTGCGGCCTTCTATTAGACCCAAGTCCGAAAAGTCAAAACCTGGAATGTTACGGGAGGAGGACTCCACCAGAGCACCAAGCATGTTTTTGAATCCCTGTTTTTATACTTCCCAGATAGTCTGCAATGGCATTGTTATGCAATCAGCATGTTTTGCTGGGCAACACCAGAAATTAAACCAATGTAGCTGATGCTAGAGGCAGCCCTCTAGCACTTAATTCATAGCAGTATTCGCATGTGGGCCTGTTTAAGTCCACCTACCTCTCTGGCAAGTTCTTCTTACTCGTGATACAATTTTTCCTTAAATGCTTGCCTGGATTTAAAAGATATGCTCATGGTAGCTCTTTCATTTGCTGCCTTAGCAGAGAGTAGCTTATTCTGGGAATTTGCTGTTAGGTGGTCTGTTCACTAGTGAGTGCCAAAAAGGAGTTTCCCTTGCTTGCATTGGCCATCTTCCTTTCACCAGCTGTCTGGCTGCTGGAAAGGAATAAACCTCATGAACCCCTTCTGATGGCTTAAGTGTACTCATAGTGACTGGGTCCTTTCAGCAGCCAAGAGCCAGCTAGGGAGAGGCATTGGGTTGCCATCAGCCGCTGAAACAAAAATTTGAAATGTCAGCTGGCTGTAGATGAGTTGTAGCAATATAGTTAGTAGGCACGGATTGTGCCTTAGTTTGTATTTTATATTCTTGCAGGTGTGTGTAGGGAGAGAGGGTGAGAAGGAAGAAAAAACCCAGCATGTTGAAACTCAGTTGCAGAAATTTAGCTGTGATTTTTTCATTCCATTTAATTGTAGTACTGACAGGATTAGGAAATAACAATTCCATATAAGACAGTTAATCTGAACGTCAACAAGTAGCAGCAGAAAACCCAGCGATACTATGTCTTTAATAGGTCTGTACATTTAACTAGCTTCCCATCTCTTAACAAATCTTGCTATTTTAAAAGCATGTTTCATAACTCTCCTGTATTATGTCAGATGATACACTCATTTCATAAAAAAGCAGCCTCTCAGGAACAATGACCCTCTCTTTTCTATTATTTTGAGTAAAAATACCTGTTAGGCCCATAAACTTTTGCAGATGCATATTGCTGTCTTGAAAATAACACATTTTTACATATTCTTGACCATCATGAACAGTTCCACTTAGTTATCCACATTCTGAATTATACTGTCCTTGAGATTTCCCATGCGTATGTGCCAAATCAGCCTGTATATACAGTTTATTCACTCCTTGATGGTTTGATTTTATTTCTTAGCTTGTGGGTTTATTTTGAGGCTCCCAAAACTGGAGCATCATTTGCATGCTACTGTTAAAACTTCCCTTAATATTTCACGTATGAGAAAGAAGCTTTTCTTTGTTTTGACTAATGATGCTGTAACTTCTACTGCGTATAAGCTGCCTAAAAATAGGACTTCCATTTTTTTTATTCCAAAAATAATGGTAGCTGAAGATACAAATTTCCTATCTGTATTATCATTCCCTGTAGAGACTACCAGTAAGTGTTTTTCATAGAATAGGAAGGATTGGGTTGGAAGGGACCTTAAAAATCATCTATCTCCAACTCCCCTGCCATGATCCAGTAGACCAGGTTGCTCAAAGCCCTGTCCAAGCTGGCCTTGAACACTTCCAGGATGGGACATCCACAACTTCTCCGGGCAACCTGTTCCAGTGCCTCACCACCCTCAT